TTGAGGCAGATACTTTGGGACTGAATTCTGAATTTGCTAGTTACTTCCTGTGTGAGTTAAAGAAAGTTATAATCTCTCTGGCTTTCAATTTCCTCATCTCTAAATATGAGGATTGAGTACCAAGGTCCTTACCATCTTCAACTTTTTTTGATCATAAGGTTTACCAAAGTCAGATAATAGATAACCTAAAAAAATCTTAGTAAGAACTAGAAATGATATAGCATAGGGCAGGATATTATGAATGACATGAAGAGGGAAATAAACAATATATAACCTTCTTTTGGTGAGTCATGTCTGACTCTTCATGACCCCTTTTGGGACTTTCTCGGCAAAGATGTTGGAGTGGTTTGCCATTTCCTTCTCCAGCTCACTTTACAAATGAGGAAACTGAGGTAAAGAGGGTTAAGTGACTTGTCCGGGGTCACACAGCTAGTAAGTGTCTGAGGCCAGATTCGAATTCAAAAAGAGTTCCTGACTCCAGGCCCAGCCCATCATCCACTGTGCCACCTAGCTGCTTATAACCTTCTTTACTCAATAAAATCTTAAAATTTGAAAGTGTCTGCTTCTGAACTGTAAACCAACTTTTTTTTTGATTCAGAGAAATGCAATAATCAGAACTCCTTAATTTGAAGGTTTTACAGAGGTGGATCTATGTGTGTCTATGTGAGGGGAGGAGGGTGGAGAGAGACAGAGAGAGAGACAGAGACAGAGAGAGCCAGAGAGACAGAGAGAGAGCCAGAGAGACAGAGAGAGATTTCCCCCTAATTCATCTGCCACATTGGCCAAAACAACTTTGTACCCATAGCCTGGCCATGTCTGCTTCTTACATCTGTCAACAAGAGTCTATAGTTTAACCTAGTTGACAATTGTTGATGGTACATAAGGCAGAACAGACTGTACAAAAGAGTCATATTTCACACCTCAGAGTGTTCAACACTAGCAACAATAACATCCTATTGCTGTCAGTCTCCTACGACTATGTAACTTAGAAGACTGATAGGAATCAAAAAAAAATCAGTGGCAACAAGGCTCCTGTCTCCTTTCTGGCTAAACTCCCAGGACTTGCTTATTTCTCTGACTTGTAAAAACAGGTAGAGAAGTTCCTTTGAAACATATGGGAGCAAGGGGATATTAGTGCTACAGAAGGTCAAAGCTTATTAAGAAACTAACCCCATTGTTAAGCTGTGATAGCATTTAGAAAAAGCTTGATCTGTTATTGGTATCTCCATGAAACTCATACTGCTTAGCTTTAAAGGCATCTCAAAAAACAGGAGGTATATCTTAACTGCCTCTGAAATCAGGCAGCATGTCATTTTAGCAAATATCCTTGGAGTGTCCAAACTGGGCAACCAAAATGCTTGCCTAAAATCTTTGGAATGGTGTTTTGCGTATGTTACATTTGTGTGAAGGGAAGTCAGAAAAGGGTGGCTGATAATTGCCTGACTCTAAATCACATACATTGCCATAAAATTGTTCCATTATAATCTTTTGTGGTCAACTGCTGAGACCCCTGTGATAGCAATTTACTTTTTCTCAAAATGCATAGAGCTAAGCAACCAAACTAAATAGAACATATCAGGCACAAAGGTCCCAAAATACAACCAGACTGGCTTCCTAAGGAGCAAATGGACATGTGGGATCCAATGTCTGTTGGGTTTAGAGTTATAATGACCAAACAAATATCTCAATATACAAAAATGTTCAAATTGAATAAAAGAAACATTTCAAACACCACACAATGCTAGCTGCATTTGCATCCACGTTTCCTGTCATTTCCCAAATGTTTTTTAAATGAAAATATAAAGATGTCAAGAGTTATTATGATCACTACGCATTAGGTGGTCATTAATTTTTCCAGCTCATTTGGATAGTATTTCTTCATAAAGGCAGTGAAGAATCAGGTTAGAAATCTTCACAAGTAATGAGTCGGTTAGGGCAGCTAGGTGGCGCAGTGCCTGGAGTCAGGAAGATGAATCTTCCTGAGTTCAAATCTGGCCTCTGACACTTACTCGCTAGTTCTGTTAAAGGAATAATTTGCCTTAGAATGATTCCCAAAGGTCCTTCTCAGCTCTATATCTTTCATCTTATGATTTGTATCTACAAAGGGTAGAAAATCCTGGAGATTTTTTTTAGGAAGCTTCCAATGAGGCTTTGGCATTCATTTCATTTTCCAACAGTCCAAATGAGAGATGAATGAGTACCAGAATGAGTACCACCATCCCAGGTGATGCTTTGGAGTCATTCTAAATACACAAAGATGTCCTGGCACAACTGAAAGTGGATCTCAATGTTCACTTAGGAGAAGATCTTTATCTAAAGATTAATTCAGCAGTAGCAATATTGAGAACCCTGAAATTTATCAGCATGTGCTCCCTCATGATATCTGCCTAAGAGTAAGAATCACCCATCCAGAAGAGAGAGCCATAGAAATTGCTACTCAAAAAACAAAAAAAACACAATTTCTGGTTTGTGGGAGAAGTATTAGATTCTAAAAAGAAATAAAGGTTGAGAATAAAACAAATGTGGGTAAACCGGTTACACCCCTAACAATTTTCTAAAAATCATACCTGGAGAATAAACATTCATGAACCTAATGCTAAAAACTTTTATTATCTTTACTAAGAACGAAAATCACTCAAGTCATCTGATACAAGGTCGCAAGTGGAAAGAACACAGGAAGAACTTACTGGCTCGGTAAGCAGTCAGAGGACTCAGCTACAGAGCTGTCTCTGAAACTTCTCATTAAGCCAGTGTTCATTAGGCATGTATTATGTGCTAGCTAGCTTACTTATGTGACCTTGGACAAGTCACTTAACTTTCCTGGCCCTCATTTTCTTTATTTATAAAATGAAAGGATTGGACCAGGTGACCTCTGAGGCCCCTTCTACATTTAGTTCTATGATATTTTGTAATAAAATACTATTCCTCTCTGGTTTGTCTATGTTGAGAATCCCAAGTACACATGGACACTTAATAAGTTGCTTTGATGATGGTAGATGTAGCCTTGATAAATGACAACACAATTCATTGATCTTCTTTGGGGGTTGGAGAGTGAGACATACAAATGGAAATAAATGCCATTCTATACATCACTTTAAAGGAGAAATACAATCAGAATCTTCCTCTCCTTTTTTTTTTCTTTTTTTTTCTTTTTTTCTTTTTTTTTTTTTTTGCTATGGACCAGAACTTAGTCACTGGAAACTTTATCCAAGACAATTTGTAATTAGAAATTACAAAGTAATTAGGAATTACAATTGTAATTAGAAATTACAATTGTAATTAGGAAACTAGCCAAAGCCCTTTTTCTGTATGAGATAGTTTCACTTATGTAGTAGTTTACTGTCAAAACCTCTTCTAGTGAGGCTCTCTTTTAAGGGAGAAGAATCAATATTGTTTTTAAATCTTGCTAAATGAATAGCATGAATTTTCTCCCAGCCATAAAAGAACTATTGATTTCAGCTAATAATATGATTTGAAAATACAACCAAACTCTCTGAAAACACAGATGTCAGACTAAGATAGATACTCACATTGTAAATTAAGCATGGTAGATCCAGCCTTTACTTTAAATATTTGTTATGATTTAGGGGATGTGATTTAATCCATGGTATGTCTAAATATGTGGCAATAACTCTGAGTCATGTTACAGAAGGGTTATGATGGATAAGAAAATGTTATGTAAGACGAACAATGGACATCTTTATGCATGGGATCAAGGGTAATACTCAAACTGAAGGAAACAAGATTAGCAATTGCCCACAGTGTTGGGAATCAAACCTGAATTCTAGAAAACTGTAAGTGAGCATGAAAAAGCACTAGGATTTAAGGATCACTTAGGCTACAAAAGGAGGCCACAAAAGGAAGTCTTGAACCCTCTGTTCAAGCTGGAATCTCCAGAGTTCTCTCTCTCTGGGCAATAGTGGTTTGTTTCCAGTATAAACTACAGAGGTACAAAGTTGAAGCCTAGGAGGAAACACTTACAGACCCAGGACATACCATCTGCCTGCCATTAAAGGAAGGCTAAAAATCAGTTACGGAACAAAAATCATTCTCATGATTTATGTTCCATCCTTGAATTTTCCAGGAAGACTGCAAAACATATTTGGGGAGCCAACATTTCCTCTGAATAAAGAAAACTAGCGTGCACTAAGCCTCCTGCTATCTCTGGACCAAGTCATCCCGTTAGATGAGTTGCCAATGTGTACTCAGTGATCACTGGAGCAAACTAGCTTTTGGGGATGTGAACAGAGCGCAAGGCCAACTATCACTGCTACTGTAAATACCCAGTCCCCAGTATGTCAGGCAGCAAACGGCCAGGAAATTAGTCAAAAACACATCCAACTTAAAGGTGACAAGATAATCCACTCTGGTGAGTGGAAAAAATACTGGAAACTTCACAACTCTGACCTACTTAAGTGAGAGAAAAAAGCAAGAAAAATTCTCTGAAGGTTCAGTCCTGTAGTCTTTGGGCAGGCAAAACTCCAACTCACTTCAAAGGGAATTTTGCCTTAGGAAGGAGTATTGAACAGAGTCCACAGGGCATATCATTTTCATGATCGCATCGTTATCTCCATTTGGTAGACCAGCAAATGCAAATATTTTAGATACAAGTTTAAACAGATGAAATGAGCTTTGAGATTTCTATGAAAAAGAAAACATGGAATTCCAGGGCTGCAAGTTATTGGCAATGGAGCCCAAACCAAAAGTAACACTTTCTAAAAATAAAAGAGCCGGCAAAAAACTGAGAATACTTACAGATTATTTGGTTCCAAAATACCACCTATAAGGTTGCTCCAACAAAACTGTGATTAAAGATTTTCTCCAATGATACGCTTTTAAGCAACTGCTCAGCTGTTCCAGAGGTATTGTTTAAAAAAGGTGGCACTACCTTTCCTCTAATGGAAATACGATCTATTCAACCACAGTGCTGTTCTAACAATGTTTAGACAGGCACGATCCAGATTAATGTGGAAGAGCCAAAATGTACCAAATATACTTACAGGAGGACCTACGAAGAAAAAGAAAACAAAAAAGAAAGAATCAGTCCATGCAATTGTATGAGCATGTAAAATATCAAGAATGAAGATTATAGCATATCTCAAGAATCTGAACTTCATAACAAAAATGAGAATTAATTGAGATATACTAAGGAGGATTCAGATAAAAGAGGGAATCTGATTAAATAGAAATGATTTTTTGCCATTCTTTGTAATAAATGGGTAAAGAAGCAGTGTTTGACTTCTCATAATTTACAAAATTGGCCAAACCAGGAGTCTACATATTAGATCACTTACAAATATGTCGTTCTTCCAACAACCTACTACAACTAGTATTGATGTTAAAGATACGAGCATGAGAAAGACTTCAAACACATTTGCAGTTCTGTTCAGCAGTTATATTTTCTCATGAAATCACATGTCGGGCCAAAAAAACACTGAATACAAGATTCCATTTTCAGAAATATCATACATATAATATTTTCCTAGGACACCAGTTCCAATTAGCCACGTAACCACACATTCGATTACATCTTGCCTACAAAATTATGGATTTTTTTTTTTACCCTGAATATTTGACTTTGGCATTAGGACAAAATACTTAAGTCTAGATCTTACTTTCCCTGGCCAAAAAGGACAAATTTAGTGGTCACTTGACTCCATGAAACATTCCTTTCATCACCTCGTTCTCACTCTCCCCTCCCTTTCCAGGACTCACTTATAAAAGACATGCTATATAAAGGTCACACTGAATGAAGTAATACTTGCACATATTTCTAATTATTTAGGTTCAGTGGGTTGGTAGAAAAAATTTTGAGGAAACTACCAAAGTGTTGCAAATCATATCTAATAATTCAATGATACTAAGTGATGCAGCTGTAATTCCCAAATCCATGACTTTTCATTAGCTTTTATGCCTCATTATGTTTTTTTTAAAGGGAAGGGCAAAGAGGACCTCAAACAGAACCAGCTGTGTTTTGTCCTTGATGACATCAATGCTTCCAACATCTTGATATTCAGCAATTTAATGTGTTTAAGCACTTTAGAACATACTGTGAAAGGACTGTTGTTTTCCTGTCCTTCTAGAATATCTTTCCCCTCATCCTTCAAACAAAGAGGGGCAAGCTGATAAGACTACATTTGATCCCTTGTGAAGACAGCCCAAGTAAAACAGGATGCCAAAACAATACCCAAGATAGTCTTTTCATGAAACTCATTTAATGCCTTTGCTTCATTTTGACTGAGGAGACTGGGTGCGTATGAAACTGAGATTCAGCAAACCTGGGCTCTATTTCCACTTTTTCCACTAAAAAATTGTGTGACATTGAGTTAATAATCTTTTGACCTCCCTGGGCCTTCTTTCTTTTTCTGTAAAAGTAAGGAGTTTATCCTAGATTCAGTTCTTCCAAATCTTTAAGGTTGACCTGATGTCAAATATAACCTGGTGAATATGTAATCAAATTAATGTCTTTGTGGAGAGAAACAGACTTAGAGATAGTACTACAAACACACGAGGACTACCAATTTAAAACAAAAAATGATACATATAAGTTTGAGACTCTTGGGCTGGGGGAGCTTTGAAGGTCTTTCTAAGTTCTAAAATGATCTCATTTTGTGAATATTCAGCAATATTCAAAATCCCCAAGTTTGAGTGTTTCTTGAAACATTTAAATAGTGGATTCATATCCAAGCCACATAAAAGGCAAGTGTATAATGTTCTAAATATTTGAACCTTAATGGACATGTGTTTTCTTATAGCAGTTCAGATCACAAGCAGCCTAGGCCTCCCTTTTCTTTTCAAAATCAAATTCAACCAAGGCAATTCTTTTGTCAAACTCACTATATAGAATAAGAAAAAAACAAAAAGAAAGATTTAAATTGGGGAAAGCAGTGTTGTTCCTTTCAGACAAGTATGCCTCCTGTTCTGAGACAGCTATCGACTCAGAGGCATTACGTACATTACTGACTACTCCCTAGGGACATGGCCCTGAACTACGTGCTAGGACGTTGTTATGTCACAGCCTTATTGCAGAAGAATAGGATGTATTGAACTCTATCTGGACAATGTGAACTAAACCTGAGGGAAACAACGGTAAGGAAACACAAATCACGTGCCAATGATCTGGCCAAACTCCGACTGTAATAATTCTGTAGGCCTCTCCTTTACAAAGCTATATGCAATTAAGGAATGGCTGAATAAGTTGTGGTATGTGGTTGTGATGTAATAATACTGCTGTGTTGTAAGAAATAACAAGGAGGTTGGTTTTAGAAAACCATGCAGACTTACATGAAATAATAGAGCGAAATGAGCAGAACCAAGAGAACGTAGCATATAGTAGCAACAATACTGTTCCTAGAGTAAGTGTGAATAACTGAACTATTCTGAGTTACATGAACATTCAAATCAACTGTTATGGACTTATCCTCCTCCAGAAAAAGAACTGATATATGGAAGTATGTTTTGTGTGTATATATATGTATATATGTGTATGTATGTATATGTGTACATGTACATGTATGTGTATATATACACATATGTGTATATACATACATGTATGTATATATATAAAATGTTGACCTTCTCTAATGTGGGATTGAGAGTAAGGAAAGGCAGACAACTCAGAATTCAAAATGTAACCAAAAAAAATAAATATTTTTAAAAACAAAGCCATATACAAGCATGTGTGTGAATATATAATATATTCCCCCATTTTTACCAGATTATCTGTATGTGCACCCCTACTCATAAACACATATATGTATAGGTCCATGTATACATGTATATATTCAAGAGGCTACCTGGGGTAATGGCCAGACAAACAGCCTCAGAGTCAGAAAGACCTGGGTTCGAGTACTGGCTCTCAGATTCTTGTGTGCAATTTGAATTGCTATAAGAAAAAGATGGCGCTATTGCTGTGCACTGAAAACACATGTACATTAAGGTTAAAATATTTAAACCATTACACACTTGCCTTTTATGTGGCTTGTTTGTGAATACACTATTTAAATATTTCAAGAATGTGATGTAGTATTACATCTCAAAAGGGGAACCTTTTGGGTCCCCACACCACTCTCTAAGACTATGGGGAGCAAAATAGATGTCAACCTGCACTGGCAGAGGGAGTTTTCTTATGGGAGTCCCCTATGCTAATGAAATTAGGTTTAAACTAAACACATAGACATATGTGTGTGTAGACCCATAAAAACAGTCTAGAAGAAAATTATTTCAAAAACTAAATAATCTTAGATATACATAAGATAAGACAGTACTTACTAAAACAACACAGCAAAAGAATATAATAGGAAGAGATGGCTATCTCTTGGTGACTGCACACAGAAATCAAATTCTTACATGGTAAAGTCCAAAGTTCAAACTTACCAGATTCTCCTCTTCTGCCCCTCTTACCACGTTTCCCAGGAGGTCCTGAAACAAAAAAAATAGATTTCTTAGTTATTTGTTATTTTAAGGTTGTTTATTTATTTCAAAAGTGTCTCAATGCTAGGCTTGTGTCTAGATGGACATTTAGACAAAATTTCACTTTACAATGAAAGTCCTACCAAAGTCGATGCCCTTTGGTGACAGTTAAAATATTTTATTCTGAATATCCTCTCTAGCCTACTCCTCCTTGTGGTTCTTAAGTACTACATAAACTCACTCCTTCTGAAGTATTGCCTTCCATAAAATGATGTTAATTACCAATCACGATTGCTACAATTTTAGATAGGCTCATTAAGACCACTATTAAATGGATGTTTAGACCACTACTGTAAAATGCTACTTAGTAGAAACTACATTGCACTTTTCAAGAATAAAATAAGTTGTTTTTATGAAAAGACATGGACAAGAATTCCACAGGATGAGATAGGTTGCAATGTGCATTTTTGGAGGGGAGTACCCACATTGATGAGATCACAGATCTACCAAACTATTTTAGAATTCATATTTGTCATGAATTTAGACTTACTACCAACTTATTTGAACTAGTAAAGTTTTTTCTGTTTTATACATTTGAATCATAAATATTTATACAAATTTTTAAAACTGGGTATCACAAAGAGATGGCTATAACTGGCACATATCCAATATGAAGAAGAAGAAATCTCAGGTCACAGATAACCCAAATCTATTCATGATCTTCAGGTTTGAAGTGTCACACCTTCTAAATGACACAAAACGACTCTCATTGTCTCCCATTGTCAAAAATATCATGAAAAGAAGTTCCTATCTTTTTTAAGTTATTTTATAATATTATACATGCTTATAATTATTTTTCCTATCACCAAGCAAAAAATAGCCTCTTTTGTTAGAAACATCTGACAGTGTAAGAAACAACCTTAACAAAATAGCTGCTGTCATTTGAAGTATTTAAGCAGAGATAGGATGATGATACATAGCCATTAGACAGAGATGCTATAGAGAAGACTCCTTCTTTAAATGAGAAGACTGAATTACATTTTAGGTTCTTCCTAACTCTAATTTTCTCTAAATTTTAATTCTATGAGTCTATTTTAAGAATCTATTGAAGTCTTCATCTCAATTTTTTTCTTATGATGATGACACTTGTTCATTCTTCATTTTTGAAGAGGACCAATGACATCATGATGTTGGGGTAAAATAGTGGTCGATGGGTGATGACTTGCATGTGAATTGGATTTAAATGAGGCAGAGTTGTGCAAAATCATCATCCTCATTCTCTCTTCCTGAGTCACTGAAGTCCAGTGGCAGTACAAAAGTCAAGATGACTGGCAATGGCCTGGGGTACAGTGGATGACCTTGGAGTCTTCAGTGTCTGACTAAGCGCTAAGCATTCCATAGTGCCTGTTTCAGCTGCCTTCATGGCCATTGGAACAAATTGTTTTCATCCACCATTCTGACGGTGAAGTCATCACATGCTTGGGGTAGACATCCCCCTAAGTTACAAGCAGGTTTGAGGCTCGTCTTCACAAGTTTGGGGTAGGGACCCACTAACTCACCAAAGGGTTTGAGGTCTATCAGTTACCCTCAAACTGATTTACCCTGTGTCCTGACGGTTTTACCAGGATGTGGCTACTACATAATACAGCTTCTTGGAGCCACAGGTAAGGATGAGGTGACAGGTGGATACCAAAGATAAATGAGCAGCCCAGAAAAGGGCTCAGCAACCCTTCACATGAAAAGTGCTAGTTCTCCTTGAGCCCCATAATCCCAGCTAGTTCGTAAAGAGAAAGGAACCGTCTTAACTTTCTTTGTATTCCCATTCAGTACTGTAATTTGTATACTATGTGAGTCAGATGAATAGAGGCAACTACAAAACTTGAGGGCTGTCTAGGGCTAGACCACTGTATGAAGAACTATGCTAGATGATAAAGATACTTTGATGGAATTGTTATATTGTCCATATGAATATTCTATTCAATGTGCAAATCAGATTTTACCCTCTTCACATCTTATCCTATGTGACTCTAGTCCATATCCCCCAAAGAATCTTCTATAGTGTCTATACAAAACATATGCACTGATGGACCAATTCTATAAGATCTCTTCCATGTCATGGTCTGGACAAAAGGCATTCTTTATCTTCTTGGTTATTTGTGTAGACAATCAGTTCAAACATAAAATTTAGTATGATTATAAAGCTCATTTCAAAGACTCTGAAATACTGAAGGCTTGTCACAATCATCACAATATTATTCAGAGCCATGCACACCTCTAGGACCTCATCACCTGTAGGGAATCTTCTTCAACAGTATAGTTGATATCTTTCATTATGGCAGCAGACACATTTAATGAACATGTGTCTCATTTGTATTTCATCGATCATCCTTTTCTGACTATAGTAAAGTCTTTGATTTTTATTTTCTTAACATTTGGCATTTTCCTCCTTTTCAGACATCTCGAGACTTGAGCCCTCAACTCTCTCACCATTTGTCACCTCTGTTTATTCTTGGTCTGGTCCAGCTGCTCTTCCCATCTTTGTTTTCTTTAGAGCTATTTCTACTTCCTCATGCAGCACATCGGGGATTGTGATATGAGTCCAAATGCTGTGGCTTGCCTAACATTGATGGAGAAAAGAGCTAGTGATGGTAATCCTTAGAGATCATTTTCTATTTTTAATCTCCTCATTGTCCTCCTTCCTGTTTCATCCTTAAATGCCCTGGGGATGATCTGGCTTAGTTGAGTCCCTTGTGAAACTTTCTATAAATGCCACAGCTTCTCACAGTAAAACAAATCAGTACTAGTCATATTCATCCATCCTCCATTGTAAGATTTTCTAAATTACTTTGTATTTTAAACAATAATTGTCCTTGACTGCCATATCCTTCCACTTGGCAGGGAGAAACAAGTTCTTCTGTTATTAACAATTTATGGTTTTGGGGGGTTTTTTTGTGTGTGTTTTGCTAGGCTAGTAAGTGTCAAGTGTCTGAGGCTGGATTTGAACTTCGGTCCTCCTGACTTCTATCCACTGCACCACCTAGCTGCTCCAGTCATTAACAATTTCTAAGCCTCATTGTGGCAACTGATTAAATTTCCATAGGAAAGGGTGTCCTTTTATCTTCTTCTCATTTTGAGGTAGGTGGTACAGGGAACAGAGCACTGAACTTCAAGTCAGGAAGACCCAAGTTCAAATACAGCCTTAGAAACTGATTAGCTGGGTGACCCTAGTCAAGTCACATAAACTCTGTCTGCTGTAGTTTCTTCATCTATAAAATGGGGATAACAGCACCTACCTTCCAGCATTGTTGTGAGGATCAAATGAAATAACATATGTAAAGCTCTTTGCAAACATTAAACTGCTACAGAAATGCTAGCTATGTTTTCCCAGCACCAACTACCAAATATATCAGGTTGGAGTTGCTTCAACTGCACGCAAACATCTCTTTTTTATTCTTTGCTCAATTTCATTACTGATTTTGCTCTTTGCCCTAACAATTTAATGTTCTGATCATGCATCAAGAGCGACTTGGAAACGATTACCACATTGGTAACCAGTCATTTCTTGTCTATCAAAACAATTGATTTCATTTTTTAGTCATGTTATTTGATATGTCTTAATGTTTCTGACTCAATTTCTTGAAAACAATTTCCTGGTTATATAGATGGGTAATCTACCAGCTTCTCTCCTTTCTTACTTCCAAACTATGTTTTCTAACATATTTTTCATATTCTCTCCTCTGTCTACCTTTTCACTAAGTATTAAAATACATGTTGATTTAATTTGCAGGATCTTATTGACTTATTTAGAGAATTTCTCTCTCTCCTCTTCTTCTGCCTTAGATGTTAAATGAGAAGCTGCTCCATTTTCTTCATTGTGATCTTTTTTCAAATATTCATCACGAACACTGCAATCCTGGATGACCGAGTATCCCATGAAATTACACTTATTTGGATGCACAATAAACCAACTTCATCAACACCTTCATTTGCTTCATTCAAGAGAACCTTGATCCATCATTCCATTTAGCTGAAATTTCCTTTTTTCTTCTTATTTCATTTATAATGTCAATGTCAAGATTAATTTCAATCTATTTCACCCATGGTATAATAACCTCAACTAACTCATATTCCATACCTCCTCTAAATGCCTTTGTTCTCCTACTCCCTTGGTTGGACCCCTGCCTTTGCCTCCAGGTGCCTCTCATTGACATGGTATTCTTCCAGAATTCTCTTTTATTGCTATGTCCCTTCAACTTCTACTGTGAGCTAGCAAATCACAGACCATTGACTGTGCCATAGAGCACGAAGTCGCAGAAATTCCATTGAAGGCATTGGAATAGATGCTATGGATATGACAAACAAAAATAAGGCATGTCCTTTGTCCCCATCAAAATTACTTTCTAGTAGAGGAGTTCTGATGTGTACCATAAAACAAAGTAGAATAGAAAATTACATTAAGAAAGGTAGTGATAAGATGCTGTGGGAATTCAGAGGACGGAAAGGTTAATATTATTTTTTATCATTTTCATTGAGAAGGTGGGAAAAATGAAACATTTTCCAGCAAATGACCTTTTAAAAAAAAACACTGAGCTAGTCTGTAGAAGACTTGAAACATTCTTGGCTTTCTGGCCATCATTCTCAATTACACCAGATCAGTCTCCATTTCCTCAGGCATTGTAATTCCCCCTAAGTTATAGTCCAGACAAAGAGCAAAACATAATTGCCACCACAATGAGAATTTAACCCTTATAATATTTTCTGCCCCCTAAAAAGTCCAAGGAAAATAAAGAACTGCCTGGTTTTAAAGAATGAGCTGCTAAGCCTGACAACTTCTAAACTCCAAAAAGTTCAAGACACAGGTAGCACGTGGCCTTAGTACCCTGGAGACTCAACTGGATATGGAGCTAAGGGCTTCCACATGGAAACATTATCATCAGAAATAAAAATATTGGTGGACCAGTCAGATTCTCCCAAACCCCTCAAAAGACCTGGTCTGGCCATCTGTGTTT